CATCATCAGTTGTCGTAGTTGGCTTACCAATGGTATGATTAATTTTCTTTACTCTTCTTTGTTGGAGGGGTGGCCATGAGTTTGTGGATCTCCAGCGCTACCAAGGGGCCACCGTTAACTTCTCTACTCAGCAAGATCTCAATCACCTTCTTCTTTAACCTCTAATCTCTCCCATTGTGAAATGTAATCTTCTTCAAAATCCTCGAATGAGAGAGCTATCTGGAAAGGGTTCATTTTCTCAAACATGTGGACACTTATATCACCAAAGCACAATAGTAAAGCTCTTTTTAATGCAAATTCACCGAGTGGGAGATAGTGTCAAGTCACGTTATTGCCATCAATGTGAAATCGACGTAGTCATTTAGGCAATAGTAAAAATAAGGATGTAACTCTATATTTACTTTCTTGCTCCATGTTCGATAGTCGCATCTAATATTATTCACTCATCCTTTTCAACACTTCTCTTTTAAAGGGGCCTAGTACATCAAGGAACTAAATGTATACTCATTTTTATATTCACAGGTATTTAGCACGTTGCTTATGAGCATGATAGAGAAACTTGCCCTAAATAGGGGCTCCTAGCTAGGAGGAACTCGTCTAATTATGTAAGAGATGATACTCGCTGATTACCCATAGGAGAACTCACCCAACTTAATCAACAGGAGCAACTCACCCAGATATATAATGGAGCTCACCCCTTTATAGGGAGAATCATAGATTCCTTATCAAGCTTGTAACATAATACCCACCACAAACCTACACAGCCATGTTAGTCACTCACTCTCTCCTAGAGTGATCATTCTCATACAAGAATACCAAGCTTAGTTATAGGAAAGCTTAGCTCACCTTGTTGTAGCCCTTAGAACCCTATAAATAAGAAAGTTGATGAATATTTTAAGACTTTTGATTGATTCGAATGAATTTTATGCTAGTTTGAGAGTAATATTTTTCTTGAGCTCGCTACAAGTTATCTCATTTTTTTTCTTTTTAAAATCTATGGAGGGGGCTATGCATTAAAGAAAATAAAATGATTACAAGTCCTTAATGGATCAAGAGTTATCTAAAAGCACATCATTTGAAATAAAACCAAATGATTATATGATCCAACTAATACAACAAAATGAAAAGCCAGACAGCACAAAGAGAAGCTAAAAGCAACCCAACTTAGAAGAGAAAAGACAACTAGAGGCTCCTAGAGGAAGAGTAGTAACAAAGCTAGTGAGACAAAAAATTTGCACGAGCAAAAAAACAAAAGCACACAGCTAAGAGAAAGCACTAATAAAAACCTCCCTGATAAGCTAGAAACACAGAAATGTAATAGAATTAGGAAAATAATAGTAGTGACAAAGGCAAGGAATCCACGACAACAACCTCCAACCACAATAGACTAAAACATCAATATACATGTAGAGGAAAGGGTTCAAATAGAAAATCATAGAAACAACTAGCATAAACCCACTATAACCACAACCAACAATTCCAATAGATTAAAGAAAACAAAGAAAAAAGGTTTTCTTACTCTATCCTTGTTTGGAGGAGTCTTAAAAGTTTTCTTCTGGTTGACGTCTTGCTTCAGAAAAAAGATTTTAACATTCCTTCCAAATGTTTGTGTTGTTCTAATGTGGAGAATATTAATCACCTGTTTGTTAATGGTAATATTGCTCTTAAAGTGTGGAGTTATTTCAATACTCTTGCCAAAAAAAGTTTTGTTCAAAATGATGTGTTATCTATTTTAGAGAATTGGGTGCATGTTGCTAAATGTCATATTTTTAATATGATTCCTATTCTTATTTTTTTTGGTACATTTGGAAAGCTAGAAATGAGGCAAAGCATAATGACATCAAAATGGATGCTACTCAAATTATTTCGAATGTGAGACATAAAATTTTGTAATTTTATTCCTATAATCTTTTATTTGTTAAAAACTTTCATAATTGTCTGGATATGACCACTGCTTTTGGCATTCCCATGGTTTATGGGACTCTGAATTCGGTTGAAAAGGTGGTTAAATAGATTAATATTAAACCCAAACCCCCTTATGTCAAGCTTAATTTTGATGGGTTTATTGGGCCCAATTATGCAGGTGTTGGTGGTATAATCCGAGATCACTTGGGTTGTGTATTGCGGCATATGCTGGTCCTTTACAATTTTCTAATATTATCATAGCAGAGCTTATGGCCTGGATATATGTATTAAGCTGGGTATTAATTTTGTGTGGATTGAGGTGGATGCTATGCTTCTTGTTTAAATTATTACCAATGTGGTGCCTAGAAATCCTCAAAACTTTTATCTTATTAAAAAATTTAAGAATTCCCTTTCTTCTATTAATTATTCTATTTCGCACATTTATCGTGAAGCTAATGCGTGTGCGGATTGGTTAGCTAATAAGGGTTATCATCTTGATAGTTATTTGGAGTTTGATATTAGGAGTTTACATCCTATGTTGAAAGGTATGATTAATTTGGATAAAGCTGGGTTGCCTTATATCCGAAATGTTTGAGCTGTGTGTTCAATTGCCTGGTTTTCATCTCTCTAGTTGCTAATTTTTTATTGTTGTTTCCTTTTTTTTCTAGTTGGTGGATCCGGTAGAATCTGATGGTTCATTATTGGCCCTTTGGTCTTTGTTTATTTATGTTGGCTCACTGCTAGAGTTGTTTTAACATGGTCTATGTTTATTTCTGTTGGTGGTTTAGCATTGGTGGGTTAGTGAATCTGGAGAACGCCTTTGCCCGTTTGTTAGCTTGTTATGATGTTAGGTGGTTGTGTTTTTTTGGTCACAACTAGAAGTTTATAAGTGTTGTTGGTTGGGGTTTTAATCTTCAGTTTTTTACCAAGTTGGTACTTGGGCTGGGGTGCATCCTGTTGAGTTATTTTCTCGTATCTGCATTTTTTCCTATTAACCACCATGACCTGGGGTGCATCCTGTTGGGGATCTTATTGGGTTATAATTCAGAGAGAAAGCTGTTCATTTTTTTGGATGTCCAGGCTATATATCTTTGGCCTTAAGTGTACTGGTTGTTGTTCTGATTTTGGGTTTTCCTTTTCGATAAAAATTTCTAATATCAGTTGTATGGTCTTCTCCCATGGCTTTTATTGGTTTCACTGTAATTGCAAACTTATTCTCTTGTATTGTAGGCTTTTCTTCTGTAGGTATGGTGGCTGGAATTTTGATACTGCTGGGTCATCGGCCGCTCACAGCAATTTTGCTAGCTATGGCTCGTCCCACATTTTTTGCAAGAAGTTCGTGCTGAATGGTGATCTTATGCTCTTCCTTTTTTGGGTATTGTCCCCTTACAGGCCTATAATATTACTAGGTTTTTCTTGTAACTATTAGTATAAGGAACCACCAGCTCTTAGATTTTATTTTGTAGCTCTGATTAGCATTAGTGAGCTGGAGGTTCTTTTAAGGACATTATAATCTTTTTTTATATTAACGCGTAGGCCCCTCCGTCGGTTTCAACTAAAAAAAAAGGTGACCATTTCAGAAGCTTCATATAGCAATTATACACAAAGTAAGATCGATTATTAAAAGCTCAACTGTAGTCTAAGTCATCTTATAGTTTTATAAGCAAATTATGAGAATCAAACAAAGTAACAGAGAAATCACCAGAAAGTTTGAGATTGAAAAAAAAAATTTCTAATGAGATCCAGCTTAGGACGCCTATTAGAGAATTTACAAACCAACAAATAACTAAAAGGAGCCGTCAATGCAAGGATTTTTTCCTCGGAGATTCTCTAAAATTCTCTCTTAGGTCATTCACTTAGAGATTAGGCTTCCTCTCTCTCTCTCTCTCTCTCTCTCTCTATATATATATATATATATATATATAAAGGAAAATTGTGTATAACAAATTTACGGGAGTAGAAGTTATAGAAGAGGCAAACAAGAATCAGAATTAACGGCACATGTAGTACTCAAATAAGAACTATAAACTGAAAGAACTTCGACAATACCGACGGTTGAGCGTATTAACTAGTAATTCTAATATACGGTAAACAAAAGGAAGACTCAAGCTACCAACTACCACTGTTAAAGAAAAAGTACGTTAAAATCGAGTGGCGAGAGTGAGGCGTTCACTCTCGGGATTTTTACCCAAAAAGTTTACCTTAAAATATATTCAAATAAGACATCATCTTATCCATAGTATATTTTAAATAGAACTTTAAACTACCAAGAGAATGATTGTACAGATCAAGTCATTTCTTTTTTTTTTTTTAAGGAATTTTTAAGTTTCTAAGATTTTTGAGCACCTAAAACGATTGTATAAATCAAGACATTTAAAATCTGAGTTAAGATATTTTGATTATTATAAAGTTATAAGTATTTTTTAAGAGCACAAATATATCTATTAGACAGATTTAAAAAGAGGCTATAATATTAATTTTAATTTTTTAAGTAAAGTCACTGAAAGAAATAAATCCTTAAAAGAATAATCAAATAAAAATATATCACTAATACTTCTACAAAAAATAAGCGACAATTTAAGTAGCAGGAATTGTCTTTTATTTCGAAATTTTTTTATATTTTATGAGGTCAACTTAGCTTGTAGATGTCACAAAACTTTAATTTGTCTGCATTCAATTTGATTATTTGCCTTCTTTGGTTGATTTGTTCTTTCTTGATCGGGATTTACCTATCTCTATTGCCGTTGCCCATTCACTCGTACCGTCTTCTCCTATACGCAAAGATGTGGTTTCTCAGTCTTCTTAACTCTCAATCCTTCATTCATCAGATCCTGTCATGCTTCACCGGATTTCTTAAGCCACTAAATTTGGCAAAGATTAATTATCATCTCTTGAGATTTTTCTTAATTATTAGAAACTACCATCTTATGTATATAAACTTGTTTAAATCTCAGAGAAAATTAGCCTAAGAAAATCAAAGGTCACTCTTTTATACTTGCTGCGTGAATTGAAAACTAAAAAAAGTTATTACTGTTGACTAAAAGCTAATTAATTAATTAAGGAAGCATCTATTATGGGAGAATTGTAATAATCACCTGAGCATTTGTTTCAGATATTGATCCTGAATTGGAATTATCAGCACTAGCTTTCTTGTATCGCTCGATCGTTCCCTTTACACTGCAAATAAATGAGGGGAAAATCAGTATTTAGAAGTTCTTAGGAAGCAGAGAGTTGTCAACCACATCGTATGGTCCAGCAAGTACTATATATGTTCAAGTAAATCTATAAATAAATATTTTATTCTATTTAAAATAAATACTTCATAACTTTCGAGTTATTTTTCTTGGGAGTGCCAAACATACATTTTAACCATCGGTTACTATTTCTGCGTTTGAAGCTTAAGACAAAGCTGGCATTGTGATTCAGCATAATTTTGCATTATATATTATATTGAAGCTTCAAGGAAATATGTGATGGATAAAAGAGTTGCTTCAGAGTCAAACAAATGTAGCTACACTCTTATATTTAATATATATAGCTCAACCAACAAGAATATGACAGATATGGTATGGACATTCAAACTTACATATATGTTAATTTATTTTGTTACTAAAAGCGACTACGTACTTCTTTATACGCTAATTTATCTAGGACTCAAAATTTACGAAGATGCCTATAAACTCTATATTATACAGATATGTAATGTCACACAGATCTCAAGCACTGAGACTTCTCTGGCATCTTAAAATGTGCCTCAAATGAAATAAAAATACTAATAAACTCTGACATAGTTGTCCGAAACTACGGGGCATTATAAGTCATATATATATATATATATATATGGTGGGAAGCTCCGCACTTCTCATGTTAGAGATTATTGGAATGGCTGAAGTTCGGCCTGTAATCTTTATCAACGTATAAATTTTCTAGCTACCTTTATAAAATTCAATATGTAATTGATTTTGTGTTTTCTTAACTGTAACTGACCTTATTGCTACTTATTATCAACTAATCTTGTGAACCTTGTTCATATAATAAAATATTTAAACAAGATAACCTAGAATTGATCATCCTAATTTGATATTCACGAGTGTGCTTCATTTTACTTCGTTTAATTAACTATGATCTGGATGGAAATAGTAAATCTATTGCATGTAAATTGAACATTTTTGAGGAATGAAAAACCAAAAAAAAAAAAAAGATTTGATCCTTAAGATGGGGAATCATGCAGAAATTAAGACTGAAGTTAATAACATGGAACAAAAATACAGAAGTTGAAACGGCAGTGCAGCAATTCAATCAAACTGTGAGCACAAAGATTATTTCATTCAGATCCAAAATGTGTCAGTACACACGAGCTCAAGTGACATAATTTCCTAGGGTATACTTGATGTATTTGGGCATAATTTCCATTTAATTAAAAAATATTGAGTTATTTACGTATGTTTTCATATGTTAAATCATATAAATTTGATTTAAAAAATATTTATAATAGTTTTCTAAGATTTTGGCTATTTTCTCTCAAATCTGCATACAGTAGTTAAACGTTCAGGCCATTCCAACTCGTCTTTTTAGCTATTGTATGGATTGTTGTTAGATTTTGTTTTTTATTTGCAATGACCAACTCCTTATATGCTTAAATATTAATGTGGAAATTGTGACATTTATCTCACTTATTATCGTGTACAGAGGACATATGATTACTTCTAAATTTAAATTAATTACTCTTACAAATAGCATAGATCTATTTATATCATCATAATTTGTTATGGCATTGGTGTTTAGTGGAAAAATCATTTAAACCAGTATAGTTGAGCTATCAGTTTAAATTTAATAAATTATTTTAGAAACACGTTCATCTGTTTTATCATTGAATAATTACCATTGGTATTTTTCCAAGGTGATTTTCATTAATGAAAGTAAAACTTGCAAAAAAAGTTGAACTCCTTATCAAGTTAAATGGCTAATTATGTACTTTCCATAAGAAAATCAAATCAAGCATAAGTCAGCTAAAGAGGAAATTTTAATCAAATGGCAAAACAAAATAAATACCATAAGAGAAACATCAAAACAAAATATCAGGTTGTCCAGTTTATGGAGGGGTTATTGGCTGGTTTCTTGCAGTTTTATGCTCTATGGCTAGGTTGTTGAGCAGTTTTTCATCCTCAGTTATCTTTGTCTATTGACACTTTCTATTGCTTGGGTGCTGATCTTAGTGCTTATCTTTAGATTTGTGATCTTTCTGATCTTTTTTTTGAGGGATTTTCTTCTCCCATTAATCCCTTGTTCTTTATTTGATTCTAGCATTTCAGATTTAGCTTTCATGTCCTATGGTTTGTTCTTCTTTGTGCTGATCCTGCTATTTAGTGGTGATTGATGCTACCAGCTATGGAATTCACCTATGGGGGTTTACTCATTTTGGATATGCTCTGTCAATCTAGTTCTCTTTGTGGCTCTTCTGGCTTTTTATATGTTCCTTTTGGTGGATCCCAATGGGTTTTATTAAATATCTTGCTTGGGCTTATTTTTTGATTTGGCTTATTGACTACTTGCTTCTCTTTTATTATATAATTAGTTTTGAAACCTGTGCTCTACAAATTTTTTTCCTTTTTGATTGTAGCTTTGGGGACATTAATGAGTTTTGGTTTGATGATATAAAATCCGCGCAATATATGAGATTTATGAAAAAAAAATCAAAGCAAGATACTAAATATACGCCCTCTCAAAAAGGCAATGCGTGTGCTGATTGGTTGGCAAAGTTGGGTAGCCAGAGTGTTTCTAGTAGTGAATTTGGTGCTTCTAATTTGCCTGCTTTCTTAAGAGGTTTGGTAAAGTTGGATAAACTGAGAACTCCGTGTATTAGAACTGGCTAATTTTGCATTTTTTGGGGTTTTTTCTGTCTTTGCTAGGTGGTGCTTTTGGGCCTGGGCTTTTGCTTAGAATCTGGTGGTTGTGGTTTTCTTGTTTGCCCGCTGATCTATGTTTTTTGGTTTGGTCTAACAAGACTATTTTTTGGCATTGTGGCAGCAAAAATTTCTGCTCGCCGTGGGAGTTTATTTCCAGGAATTTTATTAACTGTTATGTTTCACTGTGATTCTAATTGGTTTGTTTCCAATAGGTTTTCGTTGGGTAGCCTGTGGATGTTTTGCCAGCAGCTGGTTTCTGGGAGTTTCTGCATGAGGAATGGTTTTCCTGCTACTTGCTTTTCTCTTTTTCTTTTTGTTGCTGTTCTGTTTGTTTTGCAGGTTTGCTTCCACCTTGAGGGAGTTTTTGGCAAGAAAGTCGGGGCTGATTGGAGATCTTTAGAGCTTTCTTTTTTTTGGGAACTTTTTTTGTGTCGCCTTAGAGTGTATCTAGGCGATTTTGTATTTTGTATAAATGGGGATAATCGGCCCTTAGGTTTTTTTATATCTTTGATTTTGATTGTAGTTCTTCGAGCAGTAGCAGGCTGATAGTCTCCTTAAGGACTTATAACTTTTACTTATATCAACGCGTAGGCCCCTCTATGGATTTAAACTAAAAAAAAAAAAATACGACCTCTCAAAAAGTTAAATAAATAAAATTAAACAAACTCAGTTTTCCATTAAAAATATTTTTTGTTCTCAATGAACCTAATAGAAGCTTTAATAAAATGATGATACTTCACATACCGTTTTGAATAACTTTTGTCCCAATGAATCCTAGAAATAATCTGAGAATCATATTTTATTGGAGATGAAATTATAAACTGGCTATGTTTTAGGAAGCTAAAGTGCATGAGTTTTATGTTCCTTTTATCGATATGTAATATGACCTTATTTTGCTCTAATTAGAGGAAAAAAAACGGATAAAAGAAAATCTCCTTTGAGAAATTACCTTCATTGAGTACAGTTTTTATTAGTTTTTTATCAATATCTACCACGTGATCTAAAGCAAGGATCTTAGGAGGTGTTATGTCAATATTCACTACAGAAAAGTCATCTATTTGCAGCGAAAAAATTCACTGCAAAATCAATTCCAACAGTAATTAAAAGTCATGTCGTAAAAGTATTTGTGACAGATGGAATCCATCATAAATATTTTTAGTGGATTTATGATGGATTTATGATGAAATCAAATACAAGAAATAACGCCTTCATTTTAACAACCCACTAAAAATTTTGCCGCAAATTAACGAATTTGCAATGGAAAGCCCGTCGAAATTTGTGACGGAAATGCCGTCGTAAATTGTACCAAAAATCTAATCACAAATCTGTCACAATTTGTGACAAATTGTTCCATCATAAAATACAATATAAGTTCATCATTTTGATATTTGCGACAAAAATTTTGGTGCAAATATATTGAAAATCTATAGTATAAATAAAAAATAGCACCTACAATATGTTATAATTAAGTTTTTTAATAATAACAATCCCAACAGTCTAAAAGCAGTAGTTAATAATGCTAATACTACAGCAAAAAATGCAAAAATAAACATAAGAAACACACTTTTGTATAATGACAAATCAACTGCTCAAATAGACAATTACATTCTAGCTATTCTACAATTATTATAATGCTACTAACATATACATAGTTCTTATACATCAAAAAAAGTAAAATGCATAAAAAATTCCTACTTAGACAATCTAAACAGAATATGTATCCTCACTCTCTTGCTCGGCCGATGCAGGCTCAAGCTAATTTCCACCAATTTGCTCTTTCAATATTTGATAGTCATTTAATTAGTATTGGAATGCTAATGTCCACTTGAGATTTTTAGATATTTTATAGCTCTACTTTTAAGCTAGCCACCTGTTAGCTATATAAACTCTCTTGACTATTTGTAGAGTTGTAGGAGGCAGAAGAGGGTTGTCCCTCATTATCATAGGCCTGCGAGCCTAGTCCTTTGGTAAGCCTAAGGTCGCATTAAAACTAACCTAGAGGCAGTGGTTATGCTAAATTTGAGCATAGAAACATGAGCCATCTTAAGGGTGGAATTTGCAACAAGCCTATAAGCGGAAACTATGGTTGACCTAAAGGAAACAATTATGGTACGTTGGAAATTGTAGATAGTATCAAGTTTAAAGTCATAACAAACTTGTATAAACACCTATTGTGAGCTTAAAGGAGGCAATAACTCTTAGGGTTGTAGCTATCATAGACTTAAATTAATGTGGTATGATGTTCTATTCTTTTCATGTATATGCTCATTT